GGTGAATATGGATTTTGTATTTTGTCTATAAGAACGCGAGTACAAACAGTAGAGAGAGCTCTCTCGATAGTATTAAGTTGTCAATGGTGAGGTTCATTTGTTTTGGTGGTTTTTGTGTTGTGTTTTTTTTTCTCTTTCAGTTACCCCCAGATTAATGATGAGATCTTTGAGCACGTGACTGCCACTAAACATGTACAGTATACTCATTTTTTCAGTTAAAATGGGCAAGCTTCCTTAAAATGATCTGAAGTCCCAGACCTTTCCTGGAACAAAACAAACAAACAAAAAATCCCCAGAAACCCAAGAGATATTTTGCTGTTAGACTGTATCATTCTAAATCTCTTTCCACTGAGACCTGCTTAGACCAGCAATGTGCTGCAGTTGTTTAGGAGTTTAAGCTCATAATTTTCCTATTCCAGGGTGAAGAAGAGAGAGGAACAACTTAAAACCCACAAGATGAATTTCTGTGCCTCTTTCAGTTTGTATGAACTTCAGTTTTTTGAGAGGGAAGGAATGGGTCTTTATGGCTATTTCTTTGCCATTTTATTTTTTCAGTTGGAGCTCGCCTACATGATTTCTTCTGAATGATTTCATCCTTAGGTCTTGCAGAACGGGAAGGCTATGACGAAGGGAGATTTGATTTACAAAAGCATTAGCAAAGCTATTGTAGCAGAAAGCAGCCAATATTATCTTTAAAACATGGATATTAAATACACACACCAATGCACCCTTCACTAGGAGAGAGAATTAGTGGGGAGATTTTTTTTTTTGCTAGAACTGTTTTTTTTTTACTAACCCACGAGTTATGTTAAAGCTGTTGTAAAGAGATGCACAAAGAGCTTTCCTTAGACTTAAACATAATTTAATATACTGACTCCAGCTGAATGTAAACTTCAGTTGGATAAACCAACTCTTAGGAAAATTTACTCCTGCTTTACCACTGAGTGAACCAGAGACGAGACCCAGGAAAGAACCAGCAGTAGTTTCCAACTTGCGCATTGTGTTTTAAAAAAAAACAGGAAACAGTGAACCAAGAAGTAGAATTAGTCATCTCTGAAATTCAGTTTACAAAACGTGTGTTGAGCATATTTGCCTAAGAATTTGCTTCTCCGAGAAGCGGGAGACCTCAAACCTAGCTCTGCACAGGCTTAGCGTAGTCAGATGCACATCTTCTAGCATCAGAGTCTAAAATGGTCCAGTTGGGAGGACCTCCACTGTTTATGTTGACTGCACAGTGGTTCTACTTCAATAATGCAAGATGTAGGAGCTTCTCTGATACTGCATTAATCATTGAACTGCAGTGACCTGGGAGTGAGGAGACTGGAATACTGGTCTCTACTCCCTAGTCTGTGTGTGTTGTGAGTTTGTGCTTTTTTTTCATTAAACTGAAATTACTGAAGGTTAAAAAAGCCATAAACCCCCCAAAAATGGTGTGAAGAGATCAGAGTGTGTTGCTAACTCATAGGCATCAGGCACAGACTCTTTCTGATTTGTTTTACCTCTGTCCCAGGCAACCTTTCCTTTTTTGGCGAGCTAAGTCCAGCTTCAAAAGGAAGGGGAGAAAGGTGGCCCAGGTAAATTAAAGTGTAGCTGACCAGGAGGGCTCCCCGTGGAGGCAGGAGCTTCAATACCTTCAGACTACCAAGACCATATCTCAGGTCTGTTGCTTCTTGAGTGGGCCAGTTAGAAGGTGAGGGGAAAAGCGGGGTCTGCTCTCATTTCCCCTGCTTTAATTCCCTGGAAAAGATGCCGGTTATGCCTGGAACATGCTGTGGGCGAGGCGAGGGGAAGCAGGAGTTAAGCTGCTTCCCGATCGGATCCAGGATGCTTGTGTTCATGTGCAGAAGCGACAGCTAATGAATCCCTAATGCATTTTGTGGCTTCTGAAACAGCTGGTTTTTTAGATTATTGTTTCGAGTATGCCTTTCCAGGCATCATACCCATTCTAATCTTGTTGATAGCAGAATATGCGTACTGTGTGAAGATAATGAGTTGTGGTTTGTTATAATATGCTTTTCATTTTAAATAGCATTAAGCAGCAGTCAAATTCTATACTTGCTAGTCTTTGCTATTATACTAAATTACCTTTTTAGGAGTATTAAGAAACTATTTGAAGAAAGAAGGGGGGGATGCTAAGAAAAATAATTGAGGATCATACTTTCGGATGATATTCAACTTGTCACAACTGCGAATGCACTCATTATCTGTCAAAAGTTGATTAAAATAAGCCCTACTTTGTTGCAGGCGCAGCTGTCGGGTGGGAGAGGGTGAGTTCTGTTTGTGCGTGCTCCTTCTGCCAGCTCAGCGATCCGGCAGCACAGGCCCCGGCCCCTGGGTGGCTCGTAGCAGATATGGGATCTTCTCCTGTGTAAAATAATGGTAAAAGCTGTCCAGCACATTCTGATTCCAGGTTTGATTGTAAGAAGTTATTGAGAACATCAGATTACCAAATGTTTTCTAAATTTTATTCGCCTGCATGTTGCTTTTTTAAACCTGAAGCACACAGTACTGCTGTGGAAGTTGCTTTAAAGTTCATCAGGGCCATAGTGCAATAGTGTTGGTCTGCTCTTTATCCTTATACCCCAAGCTAATTTATCTTGCAGTGTTTGGGGTTTTTTTGCAGTCTTCTGTTTTAAAACAAAAAGGCAAAGCTTCCCCTCCCCCTCCTTTTTTTAGAGACCCCCCCCACTCCTCCCGAATATTCTCATTATATCTTTTACTGGTTAAGCAATACAGGCTCATACCTGCGAAACGTCTGCAGGTATCTTTCAGCTGCACATCTTGCACACTGACCTTAACAGCTACTCTTCAGCAAGAAATGCTTTCTTTTCTAACCTCTGTTTGGTGAATCAGATGGAAAGTTAAGGATGTCTGTGTTGTTCTTTTGTGTTCTTATTTCAGAAGGTGATATGTGTAAGTGGACTTGTCTACTACTTCCCTTCTCTCTTTTTTCTACCCCTCTCCCTTGGGTCCAGTGAAACCTCTGAGTCCTCTGGGTTTATATTTCTTTTAAGTTTTCAGCACATTCCTGGCAGCATAAGCCATCTGTTTGCTTACATTCTGCACCTAAAGTCAATGAACTTCTTGTGCAGAGAATGAATTATGAATTTAAGACATTTCTGGTGAGAACATGTCTAGGCACTTTTGATCTTGACTCTGGAGATCAGGCTTAACCTGGGGTGCAAATGAACACATTCTCAGAGGCTCTTGCCTTAAAACTTCTATTTCCATTCTAATACTGATGACTTTCCTCATGTACACCCTGTTACCTTTGCCAACTTGACAGCAACCAACAATTCCTTTTGTCTGTCTGTGTGACTTAAAGTAGCAGAAGTGCTCTGATGCGATACCTGGAGTGTTAGGGACCAGTCTATTGATGTAGTGTTTCAGGAGTCCAGTGTATTCTGCCCCTTTTGAGAGGACTGAAGCACGTCCTGTGCTGACGTGCCACAGGCACAAGATGATAGCTGGTATACTATGGGGATGTTGTTTGACTTTTGCTTTTGGTTTTACTCAGAGTATGTCTGGGATGTTTTTTATTACTGTCAAACCAAACCACCCAAAAGAACAGAACTGGTGTTGAAATGAAAAAAGCAGACAGTTTTTGAGAGGTCAAGATTTTGAGTGTATCCTTTAAGGCAACTAAATAGATAAATGCCATGTAAACTGCCTCCAGAAATCATTTGAAGGTCAGAACATACTGTAACATGGTCCTTATCCTTCTTTCTTCCCTCCAAAACAACTTCTGACTGGGAACTCATATTCTGAATTATAAATTGAATGATGTGTATGAAACCTGGTTGTGAAGTACAATGTGCAGGTAATCAGGATAAGTAAAGTGACCCTCACTGCTTTAGAAACACGCTGAAATGCTAGTCAAGCAGAGGGAGAAATATCCTGAAGTGCACTTACTATTGCCAGATGTTAAAATCCTATCTACTTACAGATATTCCTAGCTTCTGATGTATTTGTTAATGAAAGACAAATAGAAGAGTCTGAGTTTGTATGCTTGATGGACAAAAAGATAACCAAAGGAAGAGCTTTCTATATTCTTACACTCCTGACATTCTAGTGGGCTACTAACTAATACGAAGTAATTTTTCTTAAATGGAAACATGTTGTTTGTATATATTACTATACGCTTTGAAGCTAAGCATGATGGACTCTTCTAAGAGATGTGGTAAAGAAGCTCAGGAATGCTTTGTAGATTCCCTTGAAACTTTAGGGTTGTGTGTGTTTGGGGCCACGTCTATGGCCTTCCTAATTTCCTAAGGTGGATTTATGTAAAATTATTTTTGTTGGTAAAACAGTTGAAGCTCTTTTGTCAGTGAGCATAATCCATGATATAGTCATGGCAGAAGTGTTTGGATATTTTAGATCTTGATGTAAACTTTTATGTAGATAGATCAAATAAATAGATTTTGAATAAACAGCAGTGCAGATGGGGGAGGCTTTGTTGTATTTAGTTTATTGTAAACTGAGTGTCTGGTTAACCTTTTTTCTCCCGTTAAGTTCTGTCCCTATTTTAGCATGGGAGGGTCAATTGTTGCCTTTATTCCCCTGCTTACACAATGTAGAGGAAATACTAGACTATGGAGTTGATACTTATGGAACACTACTAAAACTTTGCTGCATGTGTACCACCTGCTTCTCGACAGGATATTTCTAGCAAGCCATATGTGTATGCTTTTCTGTTGCCAGTGAATTATTTTCTGAACAGTGAATTGAAGGAATAGCCTCAATTGAAACAAGTGTGTGCACTGGGGATAAATTTGCTATAGTATTAAACTTGAAAAGATTCAAAACTAAATGTGGAGTTAATTAAGTGAAGCAGAGCTCCGTGGTTCTTGACTTGTTCCTGTGAGATCTTCCAGTGGAGATCCTCAAACAGCTAAATATCAGGTAGGCAGAGTAGCAAAAAAGCTGAAAAAGGTTGAATATCTGTTCCAATCTTGTAACACCATTTAATTCTTATATCCTGGTATTCTTCTTCATTTCAGGTGTTTTTAGTATCTTCCATGATCGTGCCCTCTTGACAAAGCGGAATTTCAGGACGTTAGACATTGTGTATGATGGAACCACTGCAACTAAATCCTCTGTGAATGCCTTAGAACATGAGAGGAAATGTGAGAGGGACCAAATATGCCTTTTATTTACCTTTGAACTAACTATTCAGGTGGCCTGTCTGGTAGGTTGGTTTGCCCATGTAAATTAGAGTGCTCTTTTGACCCCAAAGTTAACAAATTTTAAAGTGAAGAGGTAGACAGATAGAAAAAGCATAACTTACCAAAGACGTGATGCAAAGTATTAGCTATCCCTGTTCAGAATTCAGCTTCTGTTGTTCATAAGACTTATACCTTAGAGAAACCAGTAGGTCTTGGCCAGTTTCCAGACACCTGGGGGAAACTTTACATTATAATTATGCCTTACAGCTTCTTTTAATTAAAAAGAATAAAAAACTACTTCATGTTGCCAACAATTTACTTGTGTCTAAGTGCTTTTGTTAAAAGAAATATTGTACCAATGTGAAAATTTAGTTCTTAAGAAAATGAGCCTAATCTTTAGGAGTTCTTATATGTGAATATATTTCACAAAGATGTATGATAATCTATACAAATTGTTGGTTTCAAGATTTGGCCACAGTAAAGTTTTCTTTCCCTGTGTAAACTGAAAGCAGTGTTAGTCTCCTTAGGAGTATGTTTATCTGTTGTTTTTTAAATTGGATGTAAGCTGAAAGTTGATGACATGTATTTTTTATGCAGCTGTCTGTGCGTTTTCAATATATGAGGAAATACAATCAGTTCAGCATGACTGGATTACTATAAATAGTTGTAGAAAATACCTTCATTTCCTTTCCACATTTATTTTTGTCATATGCCTTACTGACTCTGTTAAAATCTGTATGATGTAATCAAAGTTGAGTGTCATTTTTATTTTAAAAATCTAAAGTTATGACACAGAGTGGTGCTCATACTTGAGAAAAATAACGACAAAATAGAGCCCATCTTATCCAAAAATTTTGGGCATGTTTTGCTCATAGTTTTTTGGGGAGGGAAAGCAAGAATGCAATATATTCTTGTGCTAAAAACATAAAAAGTTATTTGGGAACTAAATAGTACCTTTCTGCAGTAAAAGGAAAAAATACATATTTCAGTCCTCTCTTTTTCTTCTAGTGGAAACTAATTAGATAAGAATAATTTGACAATATTTCTAACAATATTCATTTCTATGTGGAAAAGTTGAAATTTTAAATAAGACAGTTATGCTGTGTAAGTGTATTATCGTCTGCTAAATTAATGTGACTTGCCTGCTTCTAACTTGTTACGAAAATCGTACATTTTATGAGTCAGATAAGTCCAGGCTGTAATAATATGCAATGCAGAACACAGCTGAAAGGAAAAGCACCTTTCAAAATAACTTGTTCCATCATGAGCAGACGCCACACAGCCTGCTCTCCTATGGCTTTACTGCTCACGAGCCTTAACCCTCCTACCTTATCCTCCTTCAGTCCAATCCCTTCTCCCACAGATCTCTCCTTTAATGGCTTGGTGAGGAACGGCGCTGTGGGGACTAGCTGGGTGCTGGTCTAGAGTCACACAGGGAGCACACGGGACGGTAGCTGCCCTCAGATGAGCCTCATGGGGTGCTTGGCTTCGGGCCACTCGTGGGTAGCGATGACTCGAGGGGCTGCTCGCAGCCATACGACCCTCGGTTGGGCTGATCTGGTTTAGCAGCTCTGTTTAGGGGCTTGGTTGAAGCTTAATTGACACAGGCCAATGATCACAAAAGTTATTAATGAATAACAAAGGGAACACACAGGCCACCCAACTGCAAAAGCCTTTTTATTTTAAAGACACCTTAGGTGTGTACTGCTTGAAGCTTTAAAAACACTAGCGTGTTTTTGTACCCCTTACCTGTGAAAGGGTATGTGTTGTTATTGTAAACCAAGTTTTTCTTTTTAGAAAGATTTTTCAACTTTTAAAAAATCTTTTCCTTTGTTGTAACCACTACATAAAACTTTATTGAAAGTGGAAAAAGGCTTAGATTTTCATGCCCACTCAATGTTACTTTTGCTTTCAAAATTGGGTCGTTCAGCAGTGTATTTATTTATTGGTGTAACATAACAGTATCATTTATATATACAAGACTCAGTAGATTAGTTTTACATTTACAAAAACTCAAGTACCTGTAGCTTAGCTTGTTCCACAAACACAACTGAAGTATTGTAATACTGGATTGATACCAATTACTTTGTTTTGGTTTTTTGATTGATACTTTGTCCTTTGTTTGGAATTATTTCACATAGCTGCCTAAACTCTGGTGGATTTCACCCCACATTTAGTTTGCTGGGTTTTGTGTGTGTGTGGTGTGGCGGTTTTGTGAGTTTGGTTTGTTTTTCGGTTTGGGTTGTTTTTTTTTAATAAAAGGTAGTTAAGTCTATACTTGACTTACCTTACTAAGAAAGTAACTTTCAGGAGAGCTGCAAAAAGGTCATATGTTTCGACTGAGAAAAACATGAGCACTAATTGTTCCCAGGGACTTCATACTCACTGTTCTACATGGCAAGTAAGTTTTCCATCGTTTGTGCCCATGCCAGGGAAAGATGACAAGCCATCTAGGCATGAAAAAGCTGAATGTTGAAAGGTGTGCCTTCCTGTTATGCAACTTGCTGCAATCCCCAAATTCAAAGTAAAGGAGAATGTGTGCAAGGCATCAAGAACAACGGAACAAGGGAGTATGCAATGAAATAAATGTGCTGGAATGTAGATTGATCAGGGTGACTCTGCAGAAATAAAGCTATGAACTTTGCTGTCCCAAAAAGCATCTTATTAGGTGAGTTCAAAGCCTGTCACTGGGGAGCTCACTTGTTTGAGTAGAAACAACTATAGGCAACCTGTCTGAGACCAACCATATGCCAGAAGCTGACTTAAGAGTATGATATGCCAATGATGTTTCACAGATGCAAGTTGCTTGCTTTTGGCAATCTCTGTGCCAGCTAAGTACCCGAATGGTTTGTTATCTCTAATTGAGCCCTTTAAAAGGGAGTAAAGGCAAGTATACAAGAGAAACATTAAACAAAAACAGCAAAAAACCCCCAAACAAACCAAAAACCAAAAAAGCTTGTGTTAGAAGTCCCATAAATTGGAAGCAGGATGCCACTGCTTTGTTCCTAAGAGCACAAGTTCCACCTGAAATTGTAGTGAAGGTGATTGACAATAGATGGATGAAGTGTGATACATAGCAGAAGAAAGAAGTCTAGTCTGCAGAAGTATTGCTTGATAGCTTCAGAGCCACCTATTAAAGCCAAGCGTCATCCAAAGAAAGTAGATCCCTAAATTGATTGACATTGTTGGAGAAAATACTGACATAATGCCTGTATGTATACATATGTATCTGCATAGTCATTGCAAATTTGTTGTTTAAGCTGGTTGATTCCCAGGTGTTTTCAACTGTAGCTTAGGTAGTTTTATTGGTATGTTTAAGGTGCTTTTTACTGATTTACAAATCAGAACTTTTTCACAAGTGGAGTGAAAGCAGTTTTTCCCACAGTGATTTATGTGCTGTGTCCCACAGTGAATTCAGGTTGAAGAAGGTTGGAAAGCTTATTCCAGTGCTAGTATGAAAGACGACTGATTATCAGCAGACACAGGTAAAGTTAGAATATTTTCTAAGGCTGCAAAAAAACAATCTAAGTCTCAAAAAAAAAGTAGCCGCCTTCTGTATTTCTGCTCTATGTGCAGATTTTTTTCTCCTTCCTCCATGTTGACAAAGCTAGCTTTCACTAAGAATTGCAAAGTCTTGATATGATGAAGTCAAGTTTTTAGAAAGTTAAGCAGTTTTATATACTTGACACATTGAGATAAGGTGTTTAATATTGCCTGTAGATAGTACCTTCAAGTTTATTTTTAGTAAAATATAAGTGCTTAAGAATTCCCAAGAAGCAAACAGAGCAGTTGTTACCCTGAGAGTTTACAGTGGCAAATTCTAGCTTGTACTAACTCAGACTGGGGAGGAGACATATCTTTTAGTTTATCTGTTCACATCGGTGACTTGTGAGAATGACACAGTGTAGTTGGTAGATCTGGTTTGATACTGAAGTTCATCCATATACATTGTCTAAATTGCTATGTGTCCTTCTAGTGCATAAACATTGCTAAATTTGGGGGCCTACATAATACCGAATAGAAGCATGTAGCTATTTCTGCTGTAAATTAAAATGTACCTGTAGTTGAGACTTACTCTTAAGTGTGCCACCCACACTTTGAAAGTAGATTTTTGGAAATAGCTGAGTAAGTGCAGAGCAAATGCCAAATAATTTCCCATTTCTTGAAATCTTTGGACGGAATTTGGAGGCATAGTAACACAAAGCAATGCTCAGTATAAAAGTGAGGGAGCTGCCACAATTCATGAGTGGATTGTGTTGAGTAGGTCTAGAACTTGAGTGTAGGTCTGGCATAGAGAGCTTCTGCTGGCTCCGCTGACCAAAGCTTAATACTAGTATCAGCCAAGATAGATTGATTAACTTGTCTTTCACTGTCGTTATGCATATCGGTTGATGAAGTGTTCTGTTGCATTTGGACAATGGTAGCAGTATGGTATTTTGACATCTTTCAAAGAATGTAGGAAAGGCTGGTAGGAATTCTGGGTCTGTATACTCTCATGCGTTATTGATCCAGATTTCATATGATATGTCTATAGTAATTATGGATATTCTTCATACCTGGTTCCATTCTATCCTGTCCAAGTACAAACTGAACTCTAGCTCTGGCTTCCAGTGCTGCAGGAGGCAAATGCAGAGAAATCTGTGTATATATATATTAAAATAATTGTGTTTTTTAAGTGTTCAGTATAGTGGGTTCCAGAGCAAGAGACCCACCCATCTGACCCCACGCTGGTGGCTCACCTGGTGGCTCAGAACCCACTTACTCTAGATGGTCTTGCTGGTTTTGCCTGTTGGTGCATCTGAGGTGAGGCCTTCCTCCTGAACGGAAGATGAATAAAGTTGCGTTGGGGGGAATTTCTAGGTGGAGCAAAGTTCTTTCTAGGTGGAGCAATGTTTCCCCTCTCTGTACAGAATCCACCAGGGGGAGATGAACACCAAAATTTGCAAGAAGAGCGTACCAGCCGAGGGTTTGGCTAGGCCAGCCTTCTGGCATCTGAGAGTACAATACCTTGTTGCCACCACTGCGTGTCAGAATGAAGATGTGAAGTGGTGGGTTGTTTCTTGTACTCTTGAACAAAGAGCAAGGCCATCACTGCATTTTTAACTTTTTGTTGCTCTACTTTTGCCCTAGTAAAACCTTGTGGGAAAGAGAATGGTAGTGATACTGCTATGGATTTTCTTAAACCTTTCTCCCTGGATGGTCTGTGGCTTTTGCGATTGATTTAAGTTCTATCTTCAGTGTGTCTGGATTTGCGTGGATGAGTCCAGACAGATTCCAGTTCATTTTGCCTGAACTTGGCGGGTTGTCTGGACATGGGTCTTCTGTCTTTTTGAAATGCAACAGTGTTGAACTATCTGAGCTGGTGAGAGCAGAGTTTTAATTACCTGGATGCTACTGACATGGTAGTGGGGCTACAGCATCTGGGCTGGAGTTGCCTTGACTCCTGCCAGTGTAGAAGGGTTGGCGAAGGAGTTTGTCTGTCAGCAGATAGCTATATAGGCGCATCCTCCGTCCAAGGGCAAGTGTTTTACTCATGGTGTAAAAGACTGTTGAGATGAAGTGGTTCTTTCAGTTCAAGAGACCAATAATAGAACTTTAAAAACCTGAAATTATGACTAGTGGCTGCTACAGAATTTATATTGTAACGTTCTTTACAGTGTCAGTCCGGTAAAATGTCGTACAGGGAGGCTATATTTGAACTAAAGGTCATATGTCTTGCAATCTTCTGAGCGTGTTCAAGAAAAGGAAGTCCTATTAAATGCCTTTTTTGGGCATCAGTCCTGCTCCAAACGTGTTCGTTTAATAATAAGTTCACTGAAATCTCTTGTCAACCGGTGTGATTTTCCCAGGAGTGATTAGCTTTGGTCAAGCATTTTAATTGAAATTGTGAGCTTTCCTTAAAGCTTAGTATTTAACTCAAACAATTTTAACAGGTTGTCATTCTTAAGGGGCATATGTCATGATAAACTTTCTTCCTTCAGTTATGTGTCCTATCTTTAGAAACTGAAAGCACAGTTCATCTTTTTGAGGTTTTTTTTATTTGTTTATATTGCATCTTATCATTAAGTGATCAGAACAGATGATTTGATTTTTAGCGGGTACCATATCTTTTCCTATGCATTAGCAAACAGAAGAAATGGGAAAAATACTTATATATAGATTCTACCTCATTTTAGATCTCTGTTTTTAATGGCAGATCCTGCACATTATCCAGGCACACTGTAGTATCTTACATAGCAGTGTATCCGTGTGTCTTTTCCTGTTCTTCATATTTGCTTACCTGAAATCTGCTGATTTTGTAGTAATGATGTCAGCAGTTCTGGCCCACTCTTCAAATAAATAGATTGTCCAGAATAGAATGGAAGTGAACATCTGGGGATGTTCAGACTTGCTAATAAAATAAATTGTTGACTTCTCAAGGATATGTTTAGCACTTCCTTAACCAAAAAAAAAGAAGTCACAGATTTTATAGCTGAGCATACTGGATATGGAAACTTTCTTGACTGAGAGAAGTTGGAATGAGTGGGCTTCTCCTGCTGTGTGATTCTGATACCAGGGTACAACTGTGCTCAGTTTTTACAGATGTGTCTGTAATGTTCAAAATACAAACTCACTGGGGAGACCTAGCAATATTTTGCCATAGGTGCTGTCATGTTCTTTAAAGATTTACTTTTACCAGTAGTAACATTAAGACTACGGTCATTTCCATTTTATTTTGGTCTAAAAGTGTTTCATATTAGTAGCTAACAAAAAAACAAATCAGGTTGGAGGGAAGACAGTGTTTTTCCCCCCATTGTGTTTAACGTGGCATAGCAAAATTAGCCAGGTCAGCAGGGCTTGATGTAGAATTGTTATGAGAAGTTTTCCACGAGCTGGAAAGTCCTGTAGATGTCAACTTTAAAGGTAAAATAGTTACAGTTGTATACAACATGTTGTAAATAGTTGTCTGGTATATTTATGTTTGATTTTTGCCATGGTATTTCTGGCCAGCTGCTGATTTTAGGAGAGCCACTAAAATTGCAGATGTGGAATATTTTGAAAGACTTTTTTGAGGTTGAATTTTTTTTTCCTTTGTTTGCTCAAGAGAGATACGTTCTTTGACAAATAGCACAGCTCTGCTCTAGTGCATGGTTGTACAGTTTGTCTGCAATGTTCGGGTCTGTGTTTGCTAAAGATCTTGTCTGATTCTTTACTGTTCGTTTGATATTAAAGACCGCATTTATCAGCTTGGAAGGTATGGGGGAATCCAGGCTCTTACCACTAATTGTTTCCCTCTTAGACTTTTGTCCTGATTAGTGAGTTTTATGTTTGGGTTTTTTGTTGTAAATTTATATGGTAAACCACGTTAGTTTTCCACTACATCCTGTGATAAGCATGTTTGGCTAGCAAAGAATCTCATCCCAGATCTTTTCTTTCACTTTTGTGTTCAGCTGCTCCTGAATAACATACTAAAAATAAACTAGCTTTACTGAGGTCTCTTGTTGACATTTCTGTTCAGTGAGTCATTATAGTGTGTTGCTGTATGATAAAGATCTATTTTGGCTTTTAATCATACATCCATGTGGTGTACTCTTGAAAACAAGTAATTGAATGTTGAAAATTCTGATTTCTGGCTTACCAATTTATTGAAGTCTAAATCTCTCTATAATATTAAACTTGGTAACTGTCTGTTGTCTGAATATATCAGGACTCGGCTATAGTGCATTTTTTTTGCAGTAAAGGCTCAACACACATCAGCAATAACACGGATGGTTTCAGTGACCCAGTACAGACTCTGTAATAAACTAAACAGGAATCTTCATTGCAGTGTACTAATTAAGGACACTTTCGGTGCTTTGCAAGAAGAGGACATCTAGAATCTAGACTTCAGCTAATTAATTTCAAATGAAGCAAATGAGAGAGATCAATCATAAGACCATAAGACCATCATAAGTGTGTTATTTAAGTAAGATTTTTGTACGTGCAATATTAAACTTTCTGTAAGAGGGCTGTAGGGCTGATATAGAGCATATATAAAGAAAATCCATCTATCATTCGTCAAATAGCATATATGGCATTTACTATTATCCACAACATTTGCCATCTTGTATGCTGCTTTGGCATAAGCCAGCAGATAGTTTTTGTTATGTCCATGGTTCCACAGTTGCTTTTTGCAAGCCTGTAGGTGTATCCCCTGATAAGTGGCAGCCCCACGTTCCATGTGCCAACACTGCTGATGTGGCTGCACACAAATTGGATCAGAGAACTGATCAACTAATCAGGTACGCGTTGAGAGTGTGGCCTGAGGGCGATGATGCAGTCTGGCTGGGATGGGGATGCGGGTGGGGAGAGGGGGCATTTCAGCTGCGGTTTGCACTTAATGTTGGTTAAATTGATTGTGAAACCAGCCCTCAAGGTAAACCTATAGAGCATATGTGTATTTACTACATTTTTGTAAATAAACATGCAATGAGGAAAATCTAGTGCTCCTTATAAAATGATTATTACAGTTGTCTGAATTTTCATAGTAAATGTTGATGTTTTTCACAAGTGTGAGTCAGAAAATGTGTGTAGGCAGTGCAAGGGAGTCTTGTTTCCAATAGTAGTTCTTTTTCTGAAAACTGGTCGCTTTTAAAACTCAACATAGAAAAAATAATTAGATATATATCTTAGAATTAAATGGGCAATGTATTTAACATAGATGAAAAATCAGTTGAAGTTAGTATATCAAGACTGTATTGATTTCACTAGCATAGTTACTCAGTAGTTAGCTCTTTTGCTGCTCTTCCTGAATTTCCTTGTTTTTGTACTACCAGCTAGATTCATCAGGTTAAATCAGTGGGGAGGTTGATACATCTGTATGGACACCTCTCAGGGTTTTTTTGAGTCCATTGGTGGTTTGGTTAGAATTTTCTGTAGGTGCAAAATTCTGTCCTGGCACAGTTTAAGGCAAATACGAACCTTGGTTTCTTTGTAAGGAATATATTTTAAGCAGCTGCAAGATTCTTGGTATGAAATCAGAGATTTTTCTTCCATAAAAATCATACCAACTGAAAAGTCCAGAGTCATTAATTCATGGTTCACTTTGTCAATTTGTGTATGACTAAGCAATGTTGTTTTTCATGCAGTACATTTTTTCTTTTCCTTCTTGTTTTATTGTTGCAATAGAGTATCACCAAACTGGGTAAAGATTAGTGCATTCTTAACCTTCAGAACTCTTTTTTTTTCCTAAGCTGGTTTACTGTAAAGATTTCAAGCAGTTATGCTTAACAGTTTAAAACCAGGACATACTGCTTCATAGAAAGCCTTGCAAAATTAGGGAGCTATATGTAGGACAATCCTAGTAAAACTAACTGCTTCCTTACACTGTGCTTCAGTGCAGGGCAACAGATTTCAAGGTAACCACAGTTAGTGCAGATGTAAGATTTATGTATGTATGTGGGAGGGTCCTCCCCATCTCAACTAGAAGACAGTTGCTGCTCTATTGTGCTACTGGAGTTACTTCATTACCGTTTTAATTTACTACTTCTGAAGCTTACTGCATGGAATCAGCTTTCTGCACGTTTTTTCAAAACCGTTTTTAATCATATATTTGTACTTTGCAGCTTTACTTAAAATCACACAAATGGAGCAGATTCTTAAATGTCAAAGAAGATGTGTGTATTCATACACTTTTTATATACATGGTATTATACCTCTGTTTACTGTGATAGTAGGGAAGTTTTGAAAAATATAAAATAAACATTTTGGGAAATTGTCTGATTTGTCTAGTTAGTTGATTGCAACTTCCTGTTAAACAACAAGTTGTTTCAAAATCTGTTTTTACCGAAAAGTTCTGTTAAACACAGAGCAAAAATAAAGTATTCCTTAAAACTGAAAAAGATTTTTTTTTTGTACTTATTTGACACATATAGAATGTACAGTTTTAATTCACCAATATAAAACTTTGGGCTTTTATCTAGCCCTATATATGAAATTCCAGCATTCACAAAGCTCTGATCATAGAGCATGGGACTAGGTGCATGGCAGATAGAATTTCTCTTCTGTTGTCACTGCTCAGTAACCTAAAGAAACCACGCAGATACTGACACCATCGTTTCAGTCTTGATCAGACATGCTTTAGAAGACAATATTTGTTTGTCAAGAATTAAATCTTGCTTTGAGAAATAAATGTACATTAAAAATCTGTTACCAGTTCAACTGTTAAACAGTGTGCAAGTAGCAAATGAAGAAAACTACAGAATGAAAGAAAAATCACCTCCACTTTACTGTATGAACAATGTTCTCATAGAGCATTGTTCAAGTAATAAATCCTCATATTTACCAAACTTTCATGTAATACAAATAGATAAGAGTTTGGTTTTGTTATAGCTTCGTTTATGGCCCTATCACTGCCACAGAACTCAGAATGTAATAAATGAGTCTCAGAAGTAGATCAACTAAATTATAGTTTAATGCAATAGTGCTGGGTGTAGTGGAGGAGTGATTACACTGTGCCTGAACACTCCTGCTGGCTAGTCATTAGAGGAAGGGACATTGGATTATTTTCTGAGCATCTAGTTCTGAAGTCACTGGTGAAGCGAAATACTTGGGGGGCTGGGGAGGAATTTTATTGTCTTAGTACAGGGACTATAGCTTGAAAAGAAACAGTCCATTAGAGCAAAATACAAGGTAATAAACTGGCTTAATTTCTCCTTTGGACATGTTAAAGGCCAAAGGAAGACATTTTTCACTTTAGGGATGGAATAAAAAAAGTATGTAGCTTTCAGAAAATTGCAGCTGCAGTTACTTTGTTGTTCATCCCGTGCGTTTAGTCTTTGTAATAAAAGCTGTATTTCACCTCTGATTTAAACAAAATTGTTGCATAGCAGTAATTCCTGTGTGGTAATAACTTTGTTTTGTCTAGTTGCCAACTTTATGATGCAGTGTTATGGAAAATGTCCCTGTCCCGAGAATTTGTCGTCTGAAAGATAGATAAGAGTTGCAAAAATCAAGAAAAATATGAAAAATTGGAGGGTTTTTTCGTTTTTAAAAATAAAGTTAGGGTGGTTGTTGCTAAATGGCAACCTGGTTTACGTGTTCCAAGGAGCAGAATTTTGGGAATTGTCTTGAAAAAATCTTACAAATTTTGTTTAGCAGTTTTTCCTGTGCATGGCTGATGGCATCTGGGAGTTCATCAGAGAAACCAGCTAACATTATCTTCATGGGTACATTACAAAAGAAAAATAGCAGCAGTACAAATGGTGAAGGCTTATTCAGAGTAGGGAGCAGTGGCAGTGAGGTGTAGTCAGACAAGGGGCTCAGGATGATTTTGGCACGAGCAATAATTTGGTAATTGTGTTATCTGGAGCAAATCTTCATGGTTGTAGCTAAAATGATGCCCCGCACCATGAATAATAGGGACAACTTGTAGAGACTAGTGGTGGCTACAGATTTTTGTGTACTACATACAGACTTTTTAATTACAGAGTTATGGTATTAACTGATGCAATGAGTTGCGAGCCGTCACGGATTTAAAACTGATTTTGTCAACCTGATTGTAATCTCAGCAGAAGGTTTGAGACCTGTCCTTTGCACAGATTTTGGGTTATCATGCTCCAGACTGGCATATGCTCGTGCTTTGAATACTGGCTTTTTTTGGACTGAATTGTTATCTGTGAAGGTTCTTTCTAATCAACCATTATATTAAGGTCATTACTACCTTTTGAAGTGCAGGAAACTCAGTTACACTAATTGTTATTAATTTTCCTCCAGGTTATAGACACAGTATTTCCCAGGGCAAATAGGCCTAAGATGTTGCTTTGAAGAGATGAAGAGCATCAGTATGGTCTCTTCTGCTGGCTGTTCTGCAGGGTGGGGACGGGAACTGCTTGAGCTGCTCCAACTGGTGTCTGATACCCTTACTGCGGTAACGTGCGAGGCTGTATTTGGGGTTTTGGCCAGATGGTGTCAGTTATGGAACCGAGAACTGAACTCAGGAAATGCAGAAGTTAAGGCTTGATTACACTGTGTTAACTGTTTATCCATACACATCATGTTAATGGCTCTATTTAATGGCAACAGGCTATTTTAAAATAGAAATGTTTAAGATGTGACTGTACTTTCTGTGCTTAAAAACGATCTTTGCCTTACGCTATGGATTCTTTGCTCTAATGTCTTTGAACTTAAAATTGCAGAAATTTAATTGAATTTGCCTCATGTTTCAAAAGCAGATTAGTCTTTGAATTTTTAGGTCAAATTTTCTTTCTCTAAACCACAGTGTATGAGAACATACTTACATGTTATATTGAAAGCTTCTGTATTTCTCCTCTGCTTCTCGAAGAAAATGTTGAACAGTTGTAACTCAGTGGTAACCTGAGCTCTTAGTAACTGCAGAGTTTGTCTTTCAGAATTATTTTTTGATTCATTTAGGTTTTGTTTTACATACTTTGTATGGTTTGTGTTGTGGTTTGTTTTTTTTTTTAATGCCTTTAGGCAGGACAACTTTTGTAGGCAGAGGTAATATCTCCTGTTAGCCATGAGTATTGTAAGACAAACCAGGCTAGCTTTTTGGAGACACCAGCCCTTGTTTAGGTGTGAAAATGAAAGCTGCTGCTGCTGCTGCTCCTCAGCCAGATAGCATCTGAGACAGCTGCTCAAAACATAGGCAAGCTAAACCATCCTGGGAAGAAAAGAGAGCTGATGCTTTTGAAAGGAGAGGAAGAGCTAGTGAGGTGGGAGGAAAGGTGATAGGGACCCAGATTCTTATGGGAGAGAGAGGTTAGGAGAGGATGGGGATTTAAAATTGCTGTAAAACAAAGATCTTCCTTGAGGCCACAATTTTTAATGTCCATCAGAGAAAATAACAGATACTGCTTATGAAGTATGTGCAAACCTGTAGTCAACTCCAGACAGTCATTCTGTGCTCATATTCCGTTTTCAAAGCTTAATTGCTTCTGGCTTTAGGCTTCAAGGACTTCTGTGACCCAAAGCCTAATGTTTCTGTTTACTGTAGTTGATCTAGTAAGATATATTACCTTTGCTTATAGACTTTGTCCTGCCTGAGTTCTTAGATCTTTACAACTACAACAAACCACCACTACAGTTATTTTTTAAAGTTGCTTGTTATTTGTCCATACACTGACAGATTTATTTCATTCTCGTAGTTGTCTGAGAGCATGTGTGGGAATATTAAGAGGTTGTCTTGGGTATTTCCCCCTTCACTCTTTCTTGATCACTGTTTTACATTGAAGACAATCTGCTCTTTGGGCTCTCCAGATGGTTAGCCTTGTTCTTCAGTGAG